CCAGGAGCCCGCGACGCGCAGCGCCCTGGGGAGGGAAGGAGGGAGGGAGCGCCCAGAGGATCTGGAGCATCCTCGGCCCTGGATCACCCGTAGGGCACAGACAGCAGGAACGGAGCGGGTAGGAACGGCAGCAGCCCTTAAGGCTGCACCCCCAGAGGGACCCCCAGAGCCAGAGCACCCCGGGGAACCTGCACACCCTCACTCATGGTGGGGTTTGCAGCACCCCCTGCCCCCGACCACCCACGGGAGCTTGGAGCATCCTGGCGCTCAGAGTGGCTGGTGGCACCTGGGGCTGCCGTGGTGCAGAGGATCAGGTGTAACAGCCTCTGTTGGGGTGCAGGGCTGCTTCTCCAGCCCTTCTCTTGGGCACTGGAGTCTGCTGCACCCACACAGAAACCCTGAGTAAAGGCATCCCACCAGCACCTCCGTTCCCTGTTCCCTGCCCAGCAGGGTCTTGTGCTGTGGGACACAAACCCCAGGAGATGGGGACCCACCACTGCCACCACAGCATGATTCAGCAGAACTGAAACCCCGCTGCAGCCCCAGAGCCCTGACACAGCAGCAGCAAAGTCCGGGGCAGAGTCCCAGAGCCACCACCCGGCGCAGAGGGAGGTGAGGCACAGGATATGGGGCATGGGGTATGCTGCTGCCAGAGGAGTCACTGTCACTATCCAGCCTCCACTGGGGCTTTATCTCCGCTTGGAAAATGGTTTATGGCAGAGTCATCTGCTAAAGCCATAAAAGCCACCATAAACAAAACCTTCAGCCACCAGGCTGTGCCATGGCTGGGAAGGGCTGGGCAGAGAAAAGGGAGAACTCCCCCCATCTACAGCCCAGCTGAGACCCTTGGAAAATCCACAGATTGAATCAGATTTGGGGATTCATCCTTTAGGATACTTGGCAAGACATAAAGCTTCGCCCTGATGAGAGCAGCACTGTGTAACCCAATACCAAATAGGTTTAGAAATGTTTATAAACATGTGTCCAGCTGAACTATCTCAACTTCCAGCAGACAAGGAAAGAGAACAGCCCTTAAGCCTTCAGGATTGAATGGAGGTGGATCTTGTCCCATCCTTACAGCAGGAACAATGGCAGTGTTTTCTGAGGGACCATGGTGGCGGCCAATCCAAGGACAAATGAGCTGCTTCACTGCTGAGTTCCTCTTACCAGGGAGCAGCAGCCATTTATAACGAGCTCTTTAATTAAAGGCTTTGCCAGGGGCATAATGGCTTTATTAAATCTGCTTGAGCTTTCCCCAGGCTGGAGGTAATGAAATCCTTGTGGCACTGCTGGCACGGGGATGTGTCACTTAGGGACCAGAACCTGTGCAGGCTGTCCTGGCATGGAGCTGCAGGTTGGGGGGATGCTTGAGAGCTCTTGGGCTGCTCAGGGCAGCCCAAGGCCTCGCAGGGATGTTCAAGGCTCCTCAGGGATGCTTAGAGGTGTTCAAGCACGCTCAGGTGTGCTTGGGACTGCCACAGATTCCTTCACATCAGTGAGCTGAAGTGGCTCTGGAGATGCTGCTCCAGCCCCCCAACTGTTGGCTGAGCTGGAATCCATTCCAGGTTTGTCCTGGGCTGTCAAGGATCCAGGGATCAATAAGAGCATCATCAACTGATAATTCATGCTGGAAAAACCAGCAGTTCTTGTCCTTGCCCAACTGTGCCTCCCACCTTGGCATGGGCATCTTCCCTCTCTCCGCTACAGATTATTAAATTACCATTTTGCTGATCTAACTTCTTTTGGTTGGTTTCTTTCTTCTCCTTCCTAAATCAAATTCTTATTGCTAAGAAATGCTAATTTGCAAGATGCCTCCCCTGAGGACTGAGATTCAAGAGCCCAGCTGCCTTGGAGGAGCTGAGGTGCAGCCTGAAACAACCTCAAGCTGCTGTTCCATATGAAACCCCAAACCTGGGGCTAAATTAACCATTTTTCACTAAATATAAGAGAAAAAATGTTGGAAGGTACAGTGGCTGCCAACAGGGTGGCTGAGGGGTGGCTTGGGATTAAGCACCGGGTAACATCAAAAGGGCTGATCTCCAGTTCCCTGGGAAGCTGTGAGGGCTGAAAAACAGGTAATTCCCAGCTGGGACAAAGCTTCCTCAAGAACCTGGATCCTTCCCAGGCTGCAAATCAGCTGGAAAAGACTCTGGTTCTCTGGACTCTGGAAAAGACTCTGGTTCTCCTCCTGGCAGCAATTAAGCCACCCTGTCCTCCTCCTCCCCAGGAACACAACTCTGCTGCGTGGGGTGGGCGATACAATCAGCCCAGCGCAGCCCCTGCAGACACTTCATCTCCTTCAGGGGAGGCTGAAGGCAAGTTTATGGCCATTTTTTAATAGCAGCTTGGATAAACAGCGTTGATAACCCGTGCTGGGCTCCCAGAGGATGATTAATGCTCCAGGAACAGTCACGCTCGCTCGCCTCAGGGCTGGGATTGTTTTCATTTATTAAAGGTGGGGGGGGAATAATGGACTTTGCCGTGTTTTATCGGGTTGATAGGTGCAGAGGGGAACATGTTGGCCTCTTTGCTCACCCTGTATCATGCCCAGCTCTGGCTGTGAGTGGCAAAGATGGGGGATGGAGTGACGAAGGATGAGGGATGAATGATGAAGGACAAAGAATGAAGGATGAGAGATGAAAGATGAGAAATTAAGGTGGAGGAAGGAGGAATGAAGGAGGACAGATGAAAGATGAAAGATGAAGAACTAGAATTTATTTCTCACCAGGTTTTTACTTCTTGCCCTGTGATGTTCCTGACTGTGTGCCTGGCACTGTGCACATATCCTGCACTGTGCCTGGGGGCTCCCCAAGGGCTGCACTACTGGGCTTTAACATTTATTTAGGACCCTTCCAAAACATGGGAATCATTTAGCAGCCTTGAGTCCACCAGTACCTTCAGCACACTGCATATTCATGGCCTTGCAGTGTCACAGCACATCCTCAGGACTCTCTTTGCAATGGGCACATCCCCGCGCTGCTGGCACCAGTCCCAGTCTGGGAATGAGGCTGAGGAGATCTGATGGTGAAAACCACATGTGTGTCCCTTTGCCACTCCCCTCCAGCCCCGCCGAGCTGCCCAGCTGGGGAGAACACACGGTGCCTCTCAGGCTGCCCCGTGCAGCCAGCTGGGTCACATGTGTCCCCACACCTGCGCCAGGTCCACTCTCCATGGCACAATGGACCCTTGTCCTAGGGCAGGAATGTGCTAGAGGGAGTTTTTATGGGGTGGAGTGGAAAGTTGTCGATAAGGAGCTTTCTGCTGCATTCTACTGAGTGTGCACTTTGAGTGATAGGGCAGCACCTGCTGCCGTGGGGCCAGGGTGAGCTCCCCCACAGCTCATTGCCCCCCATCCCCGCTCACAGGGGACACGCCAGGCTTTCAACACACCTTAAATCCAGGAAAAAGCTGGAAACAGCCTCACAGTGATGCCAAAACTGCTCAGCAGAGACCTTTTGCACTCAGACAGCAGGAGCAAGGATTTCTGTGTCCTCTTGCCGTTACAGTCCCCAAATCCAGGTGACATCAAGGGGCTCCACCAGCCCCAACACTCACTGGAATAGCTGAATATTATCTCAGCAATCAGAGGTCTGAAATAAATGGTAAAAAGCTTGATTGCTTTGGACATTTCTTTTAGTTTTTTGGAAGGCTGAGGGGGAAAAAAAGCTATTTGTTTAGATGAAAAATTTGGACTGGAGGGGTGTTTTTTCCCCCTCTCCCTCACGACAGCATCACCACAGCTGGGAAAGCAGCTTAGCGAATTACACGCTATGATAATTGATTGAATTCATCAGTAAATAAAGAGCCACCTCTAAACTCAGGGTCTGGAGAGGGAGGAAAAATTCTCAATGCAGTGGTTTGTACCAACAGGTGCAGGAGTTGTCATGCCCATGAAACCACAGCCACCAGGAAAAGTGACACGCAGCACTGCACTCTGGGCTAAAAATGGTCCTTTTGGGTCTAAATACAGAAGGAATGATTTCTCTGCCAAAAGGAATCCTTTGCCTCACCTCCAGAAGCTCCTTGGTTCTTTAGAGAGATGGATCAGACAGAAGTTATGAAGCAACCTTGAACCCTTTAAGAAATGGCGGGATGGAGAAGCCAAAAATATGGTCTATAGTAAAAGAAAGGCAAAATAATTTTGAACATCCCCAGCCAGAGGCCTTAGGGCTGTGTTATACCCACATAAATCACCAAATTTTTCCAGCCAGCACCAGGGCCACCCTCAAATTCCTTCTCCTTTGCTCCACCACACCTGCTCACCATCTCCCATCACACCACCATCATGGACACCTTGCAGCCCCCTTAAGAAACATTTACCATCAAAACTCCTTATTTATTTCTTTTGGGAATTCTGGGCTGCACCAGCACTGCTGGCTGTGGGCAGGGAGATTTTGCAGGTCTGGCAAGCCAAGGAACTGACCCAAAATGCTGAGAGCAAGTCATGCTCCTTCACGTGTGAGGCACGGCCGCGGTGTCACGGCCGATGCGCTGCGGTGACACCGCGGCCATGGCACACGTGTCCTGTCACACGTGCCCCAGGGAGGGGGAAGGAAAGGTCTCCACGGAGTGGTGATGGCGATGCAAACTGATGGGAAGCACCCTCTGGGCCAGGGCAGCTGCTGGGGACATCCATCACGTCCAGCCCACATCCTCTCGAGCAGTTCCGCATCCGTCTCCCTGGCAACGCATTTTTCACATTCTTCGGTATCTCCTGCCCCTCTGGTCTGTGGTGCTGGCAGCGCTGGGTACCCTGCAGGCTGGGAGCTGATGGATGTCCATCACTCACCCCAGCACCCCTGAGAGGGGTGGGGACAGTAGGGACTGGTCCCAGTGCTCCACAGAATGCCCACAGGTGAGTCAGAGCCCATCCTTGGTGGGAGCACAGAATGGATTTGGGGCAGCACAGAGGTGGCAACGAGCATCTGACAACTTGCAGGTGTCTCACCTGCCTTCCTGGACCAACACAGCCTGCCAGTGCTCTCCTCCACGTGGGATATCTTTCTGCCTGATGCAGCTGGAGTTTTACAAGATAGGGTGACACAGAGCCATGGGCATCCCTGGAGATCCAGCCTTGGAGAGGAACTTTTTCTCCTGCACAATGTCCAGCAGCAGCAGCAGCAGCCCCTCTTGCACCAGCCTTGGAAGACACTCTTGTATAAAAGGATGGAGCACAAGCCTTCTGAAGGATCATCCATGGGACGCATCAGCCTTGGAAAAAGGCCTCAGATGCTGGGATTCCTGGATACCGGTGACATTGCACTGCCTGTTTTGGCCTCACTGATCTCCTGAAACCCCCACTGGTGCCAGAGGCTGCAGGGAAAACCCCTCCCTGGTGCAGCTGGGAACAGAGGCTGCAGGGGGACAGGAAATCTCCGTTCACTGGCCCTTGATCTCCAGCCAAACTGGACCCAAACCAACCTTTTTTTTCCAATTTCCCAGTAAACTGGACTTTCCAGTTTCTGGACTTTCCATAGGGAAAACTATGGCTGGTGAGGAAAGGGGTCAGCGAGGGGGGCTAGAGGCAGATGCTGACTCTGCCACCAGCTCTGCAATGCCCAGGCTCACAGGTGGTGCTGGTGCAGGGGGGATTCCTGGTCAGGGGGATAAAGGGTTTTCATGTGCCCACATCAGCCTGTGCAGGTGGAGGGTGCCAGAACAGGGTGTGAAGTTGTGATTTTTGGTGTGAGGTTTAATAGACATCAGAGGGTTGCAGTCTGCTAAGTTTTGTTTGTTTTTTAATGGCTGTGCACACCCCATAGGATGCCCAGTGCTGACAGGAGGACATGTCCCTTTTCTAGTGGCCACACTGTCCCCATGGAGTCACCCCACTTACTCCTTCAAGGGTCCATGATGGTGTCCAGCTGCTCTGCAGCTCCCATCAGGGATAAAAGGTCAAGGGATTTCCCTCTGTTCCCTCCTAAAAAAAACTCTCTCTTGGCAGGTGTTCACTATTGTGTCTGTGGGGTGGTTGCTCCAACAAGGAGTCATGAGGTCAGTCAACCCAGGGTCTAAGTTCAGCCCAGGCACCATTCCCAGGGCTGAGGCCAGGCCCTGGGGAAAAGGGATTTAGTTGAGTAAATAGAAAACAAAACAAAACAAAGGAGCTATCAAGCCCACCAACACAGGTCTGGTTTTCATTTTGAAGGAACTTTTTGTTACTCGTTTGTCATCAGCCTCCGAGTCCAAAACGCTTGGTGTGATGTGACGTGATTTCCTTCACAAGCAGGAGGAATACTCTGTTTTGTTGAAAAATGAGGTTTTGTCAGGAAGGGGGTCCCTTTGGCAGGAAGCAGTGCGAGACAGACCTCGGCTGTGTCCCACAGGAACAGTTTCCCTCTGTGCTTGCCCTTGCAGCCCCCGCAGGTGCTCGGGGTGCTGCCGAGGGGCGTGTGCTGGGTGATGCAGGTGAGGGGAGCTCTGCTAAGGACCACTCGAGTTCTGCTGAGCACCACTGCGCCAAACCCGGAGGGAACTGGGACCCTGCAGGGATGGAGCCGCATCTCACCCACCCCATCCACCCTAGCCTTTCTCCTCTCTCTTTTTTCTGCCTTTCCCTGGATTCTCCTCCATCTCCTTCCCTCCCTCCTATCCCAGCCCCTTCCCCTTCCCTCCCGGCACTGCCAGGAGCCGAAAGGACTTTGCCCCCCAAGGCAGCGTTCTCTCTCCGCTCCTTCGCGCAAGCCTCGGAGCCGCCGGAGGGAGAGCGGAATACTCCGCTCTTATCTGCGAGGGGAGGCAGGCTCGGTGGGCAGGGTTTGCGCGAAAGCTGCCGGCTTATAAGCAGCCGGCGGCGGAGGCAAAGCCGTCTCGGAAGGCACCGAACGGGGCCCCTCGGTGCCGCGCTCCGGCCGCGATGCCCGCGGCGCTGGGGCTGCTGCTCTGGCTGAGCCTCGCAGGTGCCCTTGGCTCCGACCTCGGGCCCCTCCAGTACAACAGCACCGAGGAAGGGGCCGTCGGCTTCGCCTCAGAATACAACACCGCGGCCGAGAACGTCTTCTTCAAAAGCGTCTCGGCCAGCTGGAATTACAACACCAACCTGACGGCCGAGAATGCCGCTCTGCAGGTGGGTGGCGGGACGGG